ACATATGTTACTGTTGGAAAAAATGGGGAGAAAGTAAGCCTTTTCCTAGGAGAGGTAAATCACACTAAAAACTTTACAATTTATTATTAAAATATCCTGAACTGTTTTACAAAAGCAGAGTGTAAGCTATCAGATCAACAAAAGCAGAGTTTTATTTTTATAAGACATATTTAGCCAAAYATATTCTTAAAGGAAAATTTAAGTTGGTATTGCATTAATTGAATTATAATTTTACTTTTATAATTTATTAGTTTGTTTTCCGTCCATTTGGACTAATTTCATTGTTTTTATGCTGCTTCTTGTCTACAACATTTTAATATAATAAAATAGGGCTCGTTTTTTATCGTTTCTTTGACGTTTGTGAGCTTCTTGCCAAAATAATTGTCGTGTTATCTCTACCAAACTTACGCACATGTATTTTTAACGCGCCTTGATTGACGCAAAACTCGACCAATCACAGTGAGGCACAGCCACCTTTCAGCCAATACGAGTCATTATTGTCRCCGAGTAGGACGGTTGCGCGAGCTAAAGACACATTTAACAGAGAAATGTAAGTAAATGTGTTGTTTTTCTTCAGTTTTCATCTATATATGAAGCTCGTGAGTGCTTGTTTGGTTTGCGGGGTTAAAATGTGAAGCTGCGTCTCGGTGGTGACCGCTTGGAGCCGGAAACAGGGCGCTAATACCAGCAGGATGCAGAGTCATCTGTGGGCAGATATCCCACCCTGTAAGGTCTGTTATCATGTCAGGACAGGACAGAGCTGTGGATCAACATTTAAAATACAGGATAAAAAATAAATTATGGGCAGTTTACATCTAACATCATAATAACAAGATTTATGTCTCAATGGTCCATTCATTTGTCGGTTTTAAAAGAAATATTCTCATTGTTTCAATAACCAGACACAGTATGTTTACAGGAAACAAACCCTTTTGAAAAGTTTTATTGGCAAATATAATGATAATAAACAAAATTGGCTGATGAAAAACAAAAGGTTTAAAAGGGTAAAGTAAGTTATACAATTAAAAGAGCTATTTCTGTACATATAAATTATCCAGAGCTGGGCAATAAAGTCTTGGATTTTTTTTTCATCCCAAATTCAGTTTTTAATTTTAAACAATTAACGGAGTGCCTTTGTTTCAGGTGTTGAAACAAATTTGTTGTACTCCTGCTTTTTGTAGAAAGAGCTTCAAACTGTTCGTTGCTCCAAGTTTGAGGATGCAAAACCTAACCAGCTGCAGAAAAGTGAAGAGACAGTGCCTCTTTTTGAGCTTCTGTATTGTCATGTCATGTACCAAGCGTCTAGAGGGACAGGTGGGGTGACCTCTGAACTACAGAAGCCCCAAAGAGTGCCCTGGTGGGAGAAAAAAAAATCCAGATTTTCCCCAGATTAAATCTTTATAAATTGCAAATCAGAATTAATCGATTAAATTGATTTATCGCCCAACCCTACTCCATGTTAGTTTTGGTCAAAGCTACAAAGAGTGGCTCTGGTAATACAGGTTGCAGACCCATGGGTTTGCTTAGGTTGYGCTGGTCAGTCATTACCTCTGCCGGTGGGTGGGTTGGTCGGTCGGTCGGTGATTTCTCTAAGGCTGCAAGGGAAGCTCAGCTTCCCCTAAAATGTAAAAAAAAAGGATAAAATATATACTGTTGTGTGTTCATGTCATTGACTAAATATGCGCTACAACGCGCTCAACGTTTGTTCAGAATCAGCTTCTTATCACTGGTAATGACGCGACTTTCCTCATTTCCTCATTTCCTCATTTCACTCATTCCCGCAGCTTCATGGTGCTTTAAACAGTCGGACGCTGAGCGTCTACAGAGCTCATTAGCGATGCAAAGACTGCAGCTAAACGAGACGAGTCATTGGATAAATGCTGGCTTTGTCCCGCCCATCGGACGCTGAGCATCTCTGGGGGTCTATGGAGCAGTGGGCTGGGTCAGACGCTGGCTGTCTGCATTGGATGATCTGTCGGAGGCTGAATCCCTTTTTGATTGACAGCGAAATGAGCGAATCAGAGATCTCTTGGTGTAAATGTGCATGTGAGCAGTTTTTAGTTTCGTTTCTGTTCTGAGTTGAAGTGGAGACTTTATTRAWCCTTTTAGCAACATTTTCTTTGTTAAAAACGACTAGTGACAAATCAAGCTTCTATTTCTGGTGTTTTTTCTGTRGTTKCTTATGTTTGGAGACAAACTTCTATCCCTCTTTCTGACTTCTTCTGTCCAGCGGGAGCTGCTGAGCCCCTCCACTGTCATAAAACACTCACAGACGGACACACTTCACACTAGCCTCACACCAGTAACAAGCTGCACATAATAGCAGTTTGAATGTTGTGGAGTGGATTTTGATGAAGCCATTATAGTCTTGTTTACAGAGAAAAACTTGAGTTAAACAGCAGGGCGGATCAACTCCTCAGATKAATTTGGTGCAAAAGGAGGGGAAAGTAAGATAAAAAAAACTTTTTATTGATCCCACATGGGGAAGTAACAGGTCTTTTCAGCTGTCCTGGTATAACAAAGTGAGCTGGCTGATGTAAAACACTATAG